ATATTGGAAAATAGTTGCTACTTTAATCCCATATTATTTGTTCAAAACATTCTTCTTCATGAATCCTCATTAGCAACTGAATAGGCAGAATTGGAGCCTTCCAGTTGAGACAGTTAAAGAGAACCTTGTCTTCAAAAAAAAATGTGTACAAACTCTAGGCAAGAGAAAAAAGGAACACAGAAGTTGCTTTATAATTACAAAAAAAATCGTATTAGGAGAATACAGAATTTTCCATAGGTTAAAATATATTTTACTTAAAACTTACCATTCACTTGTGTGAGCTTTAATTCTGGAGATGTTAAATAATACTGATCACAGAGCATCCTTGAACACTCAAAGGCATCTGGAATAGAAGTTGTTTTTTATAACAATGAAATGAATTCATGCCAAGTATAGTTCTCAATTAATCTTCAGTGTCTGTATCGCCCTACTATAAAATATGCACTAAAGCACAGGTTTATGTATATAAAAATATATTTTAATATTTTATTGAAGAAAAATTAAGACAGTGTTTGCACTGCAGTTTTAGCAATACAAATATGTGCACTTCAGAGAGTAAATACAATATATAAAATATGGCAAGTTAGTCACTTATATTTGGATTTTTAAATAATATTTTAAAGGAATGTTTATACTGTTGACTCTCAAAAGGAAAGGACCTTGAAGATAACATTTATAAAATAAAATGGAACACTCTGTGAACATAAATTCATTCGCAGAGTCACCTCAATTATAGATATGTCAATCATACAGTGTACATTTTCAATAAGGGAAATGCAGAAATATAGAACATACCTTGGACCACTGCTACCACATCACAGTTAGGATCAATGCTTCCAATGTGGGTTGGGTTTCCTGTCTGTGAGTCACTAAATATAAGAACTGTTGAAAAATAAAAACAAAATATTGTTGTAAAATTCAGGATAGTGATTAGTACTACCACTGAGAATGTGACCTGCTGATTAGTGAAACATCTAGTCATAGTATGCCTCATATTCTACACCCATGTCTATATACCATGATCATGATGAGCTAACTTACTGTGCTGGTTCATCAGCATCCGAGTAGAAATACGGTTCATGTAAAATCGATCCAAGAAATACTGAAGATTTTGACTGGTGACTGGGTCAACTGTACAGGCATCTTTATACTCTATGATTCCTTGTGCCATTGTAGGGACTACATTATGGTGTCGATTTCGAACTTTGATGAGTGTATCTACAAAGCTAAGCCACAATATTTATGGTTAGTAAAAGTTCAAATACATTTCATTCACTTATACTCCTTAGGTTACTTCACAGAAGGCTAAAGATCTTTTTGCATTACTCATGTGAACAAATCAAATGATAAAACGTTAGTCCTTTATTAGTAATCTCACCACAGATTCTTCCACTAGAGGAGATAATTTCATAAACAGACTCATTTTGTTTCTAGCTTATATGTAAAACTATTAGCCTTATAACCAATGCATTCATCAGATGTATTCATTAAGTCTTCTCTTTATAAACTAACTATTAATATCTAATATCATCATTCTAGAGATGACTCTAGAATGCCATTGTAAAAAACTTTCAAAATTTCTTGTCAGATTTAGAAAAGATTCTTATTTAGGTAGCTAGAAACTATCAGTTACTCTGAAAGAAAATGTTTAATCTCCAATGACACTGAAATGTATTAAAATTATGTAATGGTAAATCCTCCTGTACATCTAATTATTGGAGTAAATTTATAGTAAAAATAGGTCTCCCTACGGGGAACAAAAATGAGTCCCCTTCACACTTAGCATCATTTCTTCACACTTAGCATCATTTCTTCACACTTAGCATCATTTCTTCACACTTAGCATCATTTTCAATGCCATATTCTTCACTTCTAAAAAATCAACAAGCCAAAACTTGTCATGTGTAAGGGGGTAGTGATTTATTATTCAGAGCTGAATTCCTTTAATTTAGGTCTAAAAATATCTTAGGAATTTGTCTGGAAAGAACCAAAGTTTTAAACATTTATTCTAATGCATAGAGCTTACTCTGATAATGCTTTCTGGTCATCTGGGCTTTTCTCATGGAATTCCACCAAATCCATCAGGCTCTGTATATACCTGTAAAGAAAGAGGCGTGCTTTAAGTTTTAAAATTAACAGTCAGATACAAATGGCTGAAAATAGAATAACTTTTTCAAATAATTTTAAAAGAGAAAGTAAGCATTATGTTCAAAATTAAAACTTTCCTCCAGAACATTTGGAAAATAATAAAAATTTAAAATGCTATAATTTTTAATCCTTGACTTTCAAACTTAAAATTTAACACAAAATGTTTCTTTAACTATTTCAGGTCAGTATTCAGTTTCCTGACTATTTTATTTGGCAAATATTTTCATTTCTTCTAGCAATAATACTTAGAAATAACTTTTTTAAAGCTTTTTATTTTTTTCTACTACATTCATTCATAGAAGAGTATAAGTCTTGACTACAAAAGTAAATACTACACATTGAATATGTTTTAGATTGTAATTGTCTTATAGGTATATAATACATGTATTTCTTGAATCAATGAACAAAAGGCTGTGCAGTCAGTGGATTAAGATAAGGCTCTCATGCATGTCTGCCACCTGTGCATATCTCGCTTCTGTGATCCAAAAATTTGCTGTTTGGGGTTACCTACCATCTCTAAGCATCAGTATCTTCATTTATAAAATGAGATTATAACAACTGACACTGACTGCTGGCTGTGTGCCAGCTGCTGTCCTAAGTGGGTTTTTTTTTTCTTTTTTTTAAGGATTATCTCATTTCATTACACTCAAACATCCCTCTGAGGCATATACTTTACTCTCCTTAATGAGAGATGGGAATAATAATTCAATGGCAATAAAGAGTTTAAGACACTTGCCAAGGATTCCACAACTAGAAGTGACAGAGGCAGGATTTGAACCCAGAGCCCACTCTGCCAATCACTTTGTAAGTGACAAAGATTAGGCCTCCCCTCAATAGTAGTCATTTGAATTGGTTTCTAGGCATAGGATTTCTTTTGCAATATCAAACTCTTATTATTGAAAGTACTCTTCTATAATTGAAAAATTAAAATTGCATGCCAATTATTTTTCCAATTTATCCTAGAACTCAAAATTTTATTATAAATTAGTCGACTTTTTCAGGGTAAAAATGTCTGTTTATAGTTTTACAGCTTCCCTAATGATAACTTATCCTAAATTAATTTTAAAATCCCTACATCTTTCAAAAGTAATTACCGTTCAGACAGATCACCTGTTTTCCAATTATGATGTTAACATAGTATAAGAATTCATACCCGGGTAACTGTTTCAAAACTAGACTTCAATATGGTTCACCACTTACCAGCTTTTAACTAATTGCACTGAAGAGGTATTTATTAATTGGGTCGGGAGGATATCAATTTCCCTCAGAATGTTGGCGAGCCTCACAGGCAATTCTTGTCGCAAAAATGCAAAAGAAGTTCTTTCACATGCGTTTTCTGAACCTATAATAAACGAAATTAATTTAGTTTTTGGGAAAAAGGTGTGTCTAAATGATACATCTAAATAGCATTAACTATCAAATATTGAACACACATATATTATAAAATTATATTTCACTCTCAGTTGGGTTACTGTTAATCGATAATTCAGGGGCGATTGTCTTCTTAATTGACTATCTCTTGTCTTCCTATTTTCCTTCCTTTCCTTTCGTCTTTCCTTCTTTCTTTTAAAAAGTGACAAATACAGGATAATTATTGTCTTCTCTTTTTGAAGAGGATTCACTTCCAAGAAGTAAGAATATCCCACAGTTCTTAGCATTTTTTAAAGACTGCAGGATTCGGTCACACCACAATGTCAACAACACAACATCCTTTAATGAGTGTGGACATGAAAGATGGGGGATAAGAGGCTGGAGTGGGAGCTGTAATAGTTCCAGAACAGTGATATCACATTTAAACCCTTGAAACTTTCCTTATAAGATTATTGCAACAAATGTGTAAATATTTTCAGCAATCATGCAAATATATGGAAAGCTATAATGATAGACAAATCTGTAGGGATACAGAGAGATGTACCCTGTGGAAGGATGCCGGTGGCCAAGGAATAAAATCTATTAATTTGAGGCTATTTAATACCATTTAGAATCTTCTCCAAACAGTACTATGCTGTGAAGGAGGGGAAAAAGTTTCCAGTCCACTGTTAAACGGTGACCGAAAGCAAAAAGTAATTTGACTGGAAGAACGGGTCAGAAAGAAGAGTGTGCAGATGAAGTCAAACCTTATCCAGTGAAGGCAGGCTTGCAGGTGGCCTTGACCTGGCGGCACCCTGTCAGAAAGTAACCAAATCTAGGAAAAGGAAAGGTGTGCTGTCGTCGAGGCTCCAGGGCTCAGCAGCAATGTGAACCCTAGTTATTTTAGCTTGATCCTAGCCTCCCTCTCCCGAGGCTGAAAGTTAAGGCAGTTCCCCATCCCCAGGACCCAGCTTGGGCCCTGTGTCCCCTCTCACCAAAGTCCAGTAGCTGCTTCATGGACAGCGGGGAGGGGCTGTAGCGCGAGAAATGCTCGACCTCTCGGGGCACCAGGCCGGCGCCGTTGAGTGAGCCAGCGCTGCGCAGCACGAAACGGGCCGCCTTCATCTTGACGCCCACCCGGCCTTGCAGGGACTGTGGCTCGCTTGAGGGGCTAAGGCTGCTCGGAGCAGAGCCTGGTTCCGAGGGGGCGCGGCGCGTCCGGGCGAGGACTGCAGGTGCGCCGGCTGTCTCGTGCGCCCGGGCCTGGGCTAGGGTTTGAGGGTGCCGCGGAGTGAAGAGGCTGGGCAGCGAGTCGGAGATGCAGTGGGTTGAAACTCAAGTTCGCGTCTTCCCACCAGCCGCCGCCGCCCGAGGTTTTATTTGTTTCCCCGCACTCTCCCCCCGAGTCCCAAACAGGAGGAGTCACTGGAACTTGGAGACGCGCCCTGAACTCCAGGCCGCGCCAATCAGATCAGAGAAAGAGGTAGGGGCCCCGCCCCCCTGGCCGCGGTCCCCGCAGAAATGGCCTGATCCGGTGACCACGGAGTGCCCTGGCACCGGTGCCCGCGGCTGTGAGGGGAATAGGGTGGGAAGAACAGGGAAGAGGAAGCAGAAGCAGGTATCTGGGGCAACGTGGGCTTAAGATTAGCCTCTTGGGACAGGGCTCCAAGTCGCGTGGGCTAGGGTCCCGCCCAGGCTCGTCCTTGTTTACAACTCGGAGGCTGTCTCACTGTCAAGCACTCCTGGCCACAAACTGTGTGGAAGAGTTTGGGCTCCGAGCGCTCATTGGTCCTTTCTCAGAGCAGGGCTTTTACAGTAGCCAACAAGCTGCGTTCAAAAGTATGGGCTTCTCTGCCACTGGACAGAGAGAAAGGAATAAACAACCTAAAGACGTGCGCCCCCACCCCCACCGCCCCCTTTTCTTCAGAAGAGACCGGCACATGGCAGGAACTGTACGTTCCTTTTGCTGAGACTTGAGGGGCTGCCCAAATACATTTACTTTTTCCTGTGGTAATAAAAGGCCACATCAATTCGTTCTTCTCCGGCAACACATTCTTTCCGTTAGGTTTAGTTCTATTAATTAAAAACAAAATTAAAAAGGGATCAATTTGTCAGTTTGCCTTACCTTTTGCTGTGATCAGATAATTTGTTCACTCTGACCTGTACGAAATGTCCTTACTCCAAATCTTTATCTGAGACATTGCATTCTACCCTCAAATGTCTGGCACAAGCTGTCTGCTGCAAAAAGTCTTCCTTGATTACTTCTCCCCACTTCTTCCAAATAAGGCCTTGGTCTTTCATAGTATTATTTCATAGCTATTTATGTTTTTATATTATCCCTCTCTGACTACCTCCTTTCCTGAAAGAGATCAGGGTAGGGACCCTGTCTGATGCATCTTTGTGATTTCTACTTTTTCACTACTCAGTATTTATTAAATTAATGACAGTGGTTGAGACACATTATCCTGTCATAAAAGTCTCATACTAACCTCCGTTTCCTCTCCTGACACTCTTAAAAGGCCTAGGGAATGAAACCACCGTGTTTGGGAAAGTTGGGAGTAAGAGATTTGGTTACAAATGTAATAGAATGGGAACTAATGGGGTGTTAAAAATGATAATTTGTTATAAAGGACCCCTTTTGACCTCATCCCTCTGCGTTTATTTTATTTTACTTTAAGTAATTAATTTATTGAGATAGAGTCACACTTTGTCTCCCAGGTTGGAGTGCAGTGGCGCCATCTCGGCTCACTGCAACCTCGGCCTCCCGGGTTCAAGCAATTCTGCTGCCTCAGTCTCCTAAGTAACTGGGATTACAGGCACACGTCACCACACCCAGCTAATTTTTGTATTTTTAGTGGAGACAGGGTTTCGCCATGTTGGCCAGGCTGGTCTCCAACTCCTGACCTCAAGTGATCCACCCACCTTGGTCTCCCAAAGTGCTGGGATTGCAGGAGTGAGCCATCGCGCCCAGCCTGCCCCTGCATTTACAAGCAGAATGGGCCACTGTGAAAGTCATGAGTGATCCTAGGCTCTGCTGTCATCCTTTGCCCTTTTCATCTAGGAGACTGCATTAAATCACAGGACAGATTTCCAATTCTATCTCTAGCACGAACTTTCTTCCAAGATCCAGATTCTTCTATTCAATTGCCTATTTGGTTTCTCCATTTGGATGTCTAATAGGCATCAATTTTGCTTCTCTAAAATCAACCACCATTACGAGGGATCTGAAACAGTCCTGGCAAACCCTTTGTCAGTTATGTGGCCTGTGTGGAGGCATCGTATTAGCTCTCCTATTATTTCCCCCATTGTCTATACATTACCTATAGATGGTCTAGAATTTGGGACTTTCTGTTATGACCAAATATTTTGTTCAGACCTTTGAGAAACAGTTGTGTGAAGACATGCAATATTCATGATCTTCCAATGAAGAGGATGGGGCCTGGGTTCTAAGAGAATATTGAGGGATGATCCAAGTATAGACTCTAGCAGTTGCACTTGAGTGAGACAGAAAAACAACCAAAAACACAACAGCTCAAGCACTTATCTGAAGCTGAAATAGTTGTGGGAATATGTGGGAATATGGGGAATTTCATCTCCACTTGTAGACAGGTTTTGATGCCACTATTACTTATATTTTTGTACTTGGAATCCTTTATTAAATATTTGCATAGCTTGATGCAGCAAAGCAATGTGTTCAAGTAGCCAAAAAACTAAATAAGAATCTCTTTGCTGAAGCAAGTAAATTTAAGGTAAAAATCCCTTCTTTTTCTTAGATTGGGTCCTAACAACATAAGTAAAAAGTAAAGTATGCATTTGCTTTTCTCACTGTATGTGGAACCTGGAATAAGCAAAAATATATATTACAAGGAATTATACTTTGATTTTCAGAGGAAAGGCAATGGAATTATGCATTACAGGCAGTCTAATTTAGGAAAGTCCCATGTCCCCAAGTACATTTTACCTAGCATTACTACTCTATGTGCTGTGGGTTGATTAAAGATCAGGTGAAATCATATGACGTTCACAGAGATGACTTAGGACTAAATGTGAACTGAGGTCGCCAAAATTTTGTTTCTATGTCATCCCTTCTAATAATATTTACCGAGTTACTGTCACAGTGCATTGCATTCTTCTGTGTCATTTCTGTATGATGGGAACTGTTATTATAATTGGCAGCATTCATGATAGCTGGCCTAGAAAGGTCAGGTCAAGTTGTTTACCCAGTTGGCTAAGATGCTATGTATTACCATGATTAGAGAGTGACCTGGGAAAAGAGTGGCACTTCTCTTTTCAGGTTGAACACAAATCTTGGAGGTTATCCGGTTGGGACAGAGGTGAAACAAAAATATTATTTGGGGGCAATGGGTATGACAGATCCATGCATTCATTTGAGTAAAAGTAAACCATGAGAAGACTATTAAATGATTAATGCTAAGGAGTAGAAGAAGTAATCAAAGCTGTTGCCTTGCATACAATGCTGAACATAACATCCCTGCTTGCAATACCCGATTCCTAAAATTTCCATGGGCACCTTACCTAGCATTAAATGAATTCTGTTCAGTTTGCCTGGAAAAATCTAATAACATAAGGCCACTAGTAGAACTTTCAGAATGCAAATCACACTTTTTCCAGAGGGTGGAGGATGGCCAATTTGACAAAATCGGTCAGATCACTTAAAGAGACATCTATTCAATTTTTCCACCTCTAGGATCATATTCCAAGAAAGCAATTTAAAATACACATAACAGAAACTCCAAAGACATGATGGAAAGATTAACAGACTTGACCATAGAATATTAAAGTTAAAATATGAACAGCAGACTTGGAGAATATATTTACAGAATATGTAATAGACAAATCATTATTTAAGAGATGGCTGTTTCAGTAGGGAACCATGTGGTCATGATCTATTCCCTCATGAGATGATAGACTTGTGGGGGAAATTGGCATTACAAAAGCATACGGACAATAAACCTATACGTTAAGATAGGACAAGGGCTAAGAAGAAAATGATTGTGAAGAGTGTAATAGGCTGGAACTACCTTAGATTTGGTGGTCAGGGAAAGTCTCCTTGAGTAAATGACAATTAAAAGAAAGGGAATGAGCTTCTACTGGGGTTGAGAGGGAACACTGGTGAAAGCATATTGGTGAAGCTATTGGGAAAAGCAGGACCTAACTCAAAATTTGGTCTCTGATGTTTCTTATAGTTACTGTTAACCTAGAGGATACTAGGTGCCAGGAGCTGGAGTAGGTGCCCTGATGGGTGCAAAAATGTCTGCTCTCATGCACCTCAGATTATTAGCAGATGATAGAAAACAATAACTAATTATTTTTTAATTTATTAGATTTTCATTTAATCCTCAGGGTAAAATGCTATAATTAAACGCATTTTAAAAAGAGCCCATAAGAAAGGTTCATGCCATGGGCAATGTTGATTGTGGTGGTATTGGTGGTAATAGTGATGGTGCCAGACAGTGGATATGTTAAGCGTGATCTGGGGTGTCTGAAGGAAGAGCTATGTTGGGGATCAGGAAATACTACTAGAATTGGCATTCTAGATGGCTGTAGAAAGATGAGCAAGATTTTGGCAAGTAATTGGTAGACAGTGGGGAAAATTGTCCAAGACTGAGTAAAAGCACAGATGTAGGAGCTAGAGATACACTGGAGAAATAATGACTAGTTTCATCTAGCTGCTGTCTAGAGTATCCTAAGGGCAGAGGGAAAGGAAGATTCAGTTATCCCATGAAAGCCTGAAATGCTAGTATGAGGACTATGAGATTACTAGAGTAGGCAGCAGGGAACTGTTAAAGCCTTTAAATCAGGGAGCAATGTGTTTTCTGTTCAAATTTGTTAACAGTTAAATAATTCTACTAAACTTTATTGAACGCCCACTATGTACTAGACACTGTGATTGATGCTGAGGACATAAAGATGAAGAAGGCATAGTTTGTCTTCAAAGATGGGAGAAAGACATGAAAATAATCTAAAAAATAGCATGTTGCATATACGGTATGTGTACTGGGGGGACAAGTAGCAGCCAGGGGAGGCTTCCTTGGAGGAAGTGATAGGTCATCTGACTTATAAAGGTGGAGCAGATATTCATAGAAGACAAAGAAGAAAGGTGTTGGAGCAGCGAGGAGAGGGACTGAAAAGAGCCATTTGTTGGTAGTATCTCTAGGCTTTGTCAAATCTGATAATGAAGAATTTTTTTAAAGTTCTCTAATATTCTAAACCTGTACCGCTGGGAGGAGGTGATTTTATTGATAGAAGCAGGGAAGTCAAAAGTGTCAGGAGAAAAGGATAAGTTGACTGAGGACGGACCAGTAGTGCAAGTGATGGGTTTGTTTGGGAACACTTTGAGTTAATGAAAAACCATACGAGAGTCATGACTAAATTACCGTGAAGACAAGATGAGAACCCAAAGGCTATTAAGCCTTTGCTGAGAAGTGAAGATAGATGGGTGAGATTCTGTCCCTGGTTTCTTTATACAAGATGCCCTTCTCCTATCAGCCTACAGCTATATCTTACTTTTTTCTGTGCACAATAGTTCCTGCTAGAGCAGCTCTTTGTTTCATTCTTGGCCTCCTTTGTTTCATTCTTGGCCTCCTTTGTTTCATATCAAGGCCAAAATCTTTTCCCTACATCATAGCAAATGGGTTCATTCTTCTTTTTGCACTTGTGGCTCCAGTGTTATCTGGAAAGAAAAGGAAGCAAATCCTGAAGCTAGCACATCTTGACTTTTCATGGAAAGATAAGAAGAATTTTGCATCAGTTTCAAATATAGGTTAAGCATTGTTTTTACCCCTACAAGAAATTTCTCAATTGTGTTTGATGTTTGCCTTTGATGTTAGTAAGGAAAGGTGAATAAAGGAAATGAAAAAACGACTGAAGAAGGAAAACAAATGTGTACTAAGCATATAAAAGCATGCTCAAACTAATGAGTGAATAGGAAAATAAAAAGTAAAAAGATAATAAGACACCATTGTTCTAATATTAGACTGGCAAATAAAGAAAAGGTTGGTAAGATCTCCTTGTTGGCAAGGCCTGGGGAAATGAACACTCTCCTATATTATTTGTGGGGATGAAATTGGCAAATTTTTGTTGGAAGGCAGTTGGCAGAACCTATAGAAATTTTAAAGATAGCTACCCCATGTCTCAGCCATTTCACTTCTAGCAACTTATCTTACGGTTTTACTGACAGAGAGAATAAAGATATATGTACAATATTCCTCATTGTAGCATTACCTGTAAAAACAAAAATTGAAAAAGAACTTGTTTCGACAATAACTCATAGTGTAAATAAATGATACACCCATGCACTAAAACACAATGCAGCTGATATAATGAACGACATAGATTTTTGCAGCAGCTTTGAGGTCTACCCTGAGATTTCTTTTAAGGAAGTGCTTGCCGTTAGTTGCAAGGAATGAAATTAGCTGACAGCCTTCAGCTGCAGAATCTTTGGGATCCAGACAGCATTTGAGCTGGGACCATGCCCTTCTCAGGCAGCCCCACAGTGATGGAGGAGCATCTAGAAGGACCTGGCCATTTTTCCTCAATGTAGGATCCCTCTGATGGGAATTCTTTGTCTGGAGACCCGAGCTGAGACTTTGTCATATTGGCATCCCTGTCCCTGCTCAATTCTGCTCTCCATGCGCCCTTTTCTATCACAGATATCATAGTCTGAAAGCTTTCCATACCCAATACTTCTTCCTATACCCCTTAGCCTTTCTGGATCTCATTGAGGCTACCATTTTACTTTCCTTCATTCTTCTTATGTCTTTTCTTCCCCTCTTATCCAGCATGGACGCCATGAACCAACATTATAATTAGGCTCTTGAGAAAACCCTTAACTGTCTCTCTCTGTTACACTCACTTGGCAAGTCTAATTAAAACTACTCTAGTTAAACCCACTAAGCCTTTGTTAAAACCATTCTAAATATATGGCCTGATGCGGTGGCTCATGCTTGTAATCCCAGCACTTTGGGAGGCCGAGAAAGGTGGATCATGAGGTCAGGAGTTCAAGACCAGCATGGCCAAGATGGTGAAACTCCATCTCTACTAAAAATACACAAATTACCTGGGCGTGGTGGCATGCGCTTATAATCCCAGCTACTCGGGAGGCTGAGGCAGAGAACTGCTTAAACCCAGGGGGCAGAGGTTGCAGTGAGCCAAGATCGCGCCACTGCACTCCAGCCTGGGTGACAGAGCAAGACTCTGTCTAAAAAAAAAAAAAAAAAAATTCTAAGTGTAGAAAGTGGTTACAAATTTCAATTCATAAATGTCAAGTGTACACGTGTTGATATTTTCTTTACTTTTGATTTCCTGTAAGTCAGTATAATGTCTATTAAAGGTCTTTTGGTTAATGTGGGATTTTATTGTTATTTTCCCCTGGAGCAGCATCTATTTTCCCAGGAGTGTATATAGGCCCAAGTTACCAGGGAAAGTAGACAAGTAGCCATGCTAGTTTCCACTGAGATGATTCCTATGAAATCTAGTCCTAGATTATTGGTTTGTGCAGATTGCCACTCCATCATGTCTCATTCCCATCCAAAAGACCCATTTGTGCCTGGCTCTCTTTGTCGCTCTGGTTGTTTTTGGATCCAAGGACAGCATTCCATTCTGTTGTTCCTGAAATATACTGAACCATACTCTCATACCCCATCTACCTTAGTGCCCCCTCTGTTGTGACCTTAACACATTGGGCTACAGAAACACTACAAGGCTGTCACAGGTCTGTCTGCCTAAATCCCTCATGAAGCCATTTTTATTCCTGCTGTTTTCTAAGGCCTTGGCATAGGGAATGAGTCTCAAAAGTGTAGTTCTTGAGGGGATTTGTAGCATAGTGAAATCACAATAAATCACATCAGGTTTCCCACTATTGCCCCTTGAACTAGAAGAGACTCTCTGATTATAGGGGTGCAAAAGAGAATAAAAACTAGAGGAGACTTGACGATAGCCCAGATGAGCCAAAAAAGGGGGTTAGGGGTGCATCACAGAAACCACATATAGGTTTTGTGGATCTGAGAAAAAGGAAAACCTGTATCTCAATTCCTCAGTAAAGCAGATTTCTCAAAACTTGTGTAAGTATTTTTGGCTCCTTCTGTGAGTCATGGTCCAGCTGCCCAAATTGGGGAGAGGATGTTGAGATCATAAGAAATATTGGTGGAAAACGCACTTGGTTAATATTTTAAATATTATATGCACAAACATATACACAGATCTATGCAGAAGAAAAATATATCAGATTATCTATAGTGGTTATTTTTGGGCAATGGAATTACCAGTATTTATATTTGCATTTTAAATGAGTTTTCAAATGTTAAGCCATGAAATATGTGTTACTTCTTAATTGTAAAGAAAATAAATGTTATTCCAAAAGTTGAAATGAAAATAGATGTAGCAAGAGAATGGGCAGAGGAAGTTGGCAAATATCTGTCCAAAATAGGCTTTACACTGACTTGGAAGGCAAAATTGGGACCAAGAAATGGGCCAGCAGCCCTCCTGCCTTCTATTTCTTTTTTTATTTTTATTTTGTATTATGCTTTAAGTTCTAGGGTACACGTGCACACGTGCAGGTTTGTTACATATGTATACATGTGCCATGTTGGTTTGCTGCACCCATTAACTCGTCATTAACATTAGGTATTTCTCCTAATGCTATCCCTCCTCCCTCCCCACAACCCATGACAGACCCTGATGTGTGATGTTCCCCACCCTGTGTCCAATTGTTCTCATTGTTCAATTCCCACCTATGAGTGTGAACATGCGGTGTTTGGTTTTCTGTCCTTGTGATCGTTTGCTCAGAGTGATGGTTTCCAGTTTCATCCATGTCCCTACAAAGGACATGACCTCATCATTTTTTATGGCTGCATAGTATTCCATGGTGTATATGTGCCACGTTGTCTTAATCCAGTTTACCATTGATGGACATTTGGGTTGCTTCCAAGTCTTTGCTATTGTGAATAGTGCCGCCATAAACATACGTGTCCATGTGTCCTTATAGTAGCATGATTTATAATCCTTTGGGTATATACCCAGTAATGGAATTGCTGGGTCAAGTGGTATTTCTAGTTCTATATCCTTGAAGAATCGCCACACTGTCTTCCACAATGGTTGAACTAGTTTACACTCCCACCAACAGTGTAAAAGTGTTCCTGTTTCTCCACATCCTCTCCAGCACCTGTCGTTTCCTGACTTTTTAATGATCGCCATTCTAACTGATGTGAGATGGTATCTCATTGTGGTTTTGATTTGCATTTCTCTGATGACCAGTGATGATGAGCATTTTTTCATGTGTCTGTTGGCTGCATAAATATCTTCTTTTGAGAAGTGTCTGTTCGTATCCTTCGCCCACTTTTTGATGGGGTCTTTTGATTTTTTTCTTGTAAATTTGTTTAAGTTCTTTGTAGAGATTCTGGATATTAGCCCTTTGTCAGATGGGTAGATTGCAAAATTTTCTTCCATTCTGTAGGTTGCCTGTTCCTCTGATGGTAGAGAAGACGTTAAATGACCTGATGGAGCTGAAAACCATGGCACGAGAACTTCCTGCCTTCTATTTCTAACAAGTTCGGGCACACCAAGAGACTTGGAGACTTAAAACCTGAAGAGCCTGCAATCAACTTTTTCTCTTACTATTCCTGCTCATTGTCTTCTGTGGACTAATATTGAACCATGAAACTTTGCTTACAGTTTTGTGGCCTGTTCCTTTCCTCTGATTGCTGATCATTGCATGAATTTCCTGAGATTATCACTGAATAGGACCTTTCTTTTTCCTGTATCCTCTACTACACACACAGAGTTCAAATAGAATTCTTTTGGTTGGAAAACGCCAGATTTTGCCAAGTTCCAGCCTTGGTTTGTGTAGCACTGGCTGGCTTCCTTAGACCACTTTTTCTGGGGTTTCAGATAATAAAAAGGAGCACAGTCAAGCACCAGGTCATCTGAAAGACAAATTTTAGAGGTCACTTTCTTTTCTGATTTTGTTGCTTAGCCCAGTGCAGGGGCATCAAAGCTGTATCACCATTGCATTCACTGTCTAGGTAAAAATGGGAAAATTCAGTCAGTTATATTAATATTCCTTACTACTTGCAATTTATGTGCACTGGCCTATTGTTATGAGCAATGCATTGTACATCTACATTTTTGGCAGTAAAAGGACAGATACCCAGATGTCATACTAATTTTTCTGCATTTGTTTGAAAATACTAGTTTAAGCAATTACATGTTATGCAAGTGGTTAGTCCTTCCCTCTCCAACTTGGCTGCCACCAGTAATAATAGATCATAACATCTTCTCCTGTGTGATCTGATGTGGCCTTGGGATTCGTCCCAACACAGGACTCCAGAGATCAGTGGATCAGTGAATTACGTTTGGGAGATGCAACCCCTGTTATTACTGGGCTGGGGGCCCCAGCAGCTGCTGGTGGGGTATTCTGCCCTACAGCAGCACTCTACCTCCACCCTCCCCTTTCCATTTGGAAGAACTATCCTTTAGTGAGACTGTCAATGGAAAACATGAAAACCATTCATTTAATACAACATTTTCACTTGCAGAGGAAAAACAGGCAGAAGAGTTAAGTCACCAGAGTCATATAGCTGGTAGGAAACATGGGTTCTCTAAATCTCAGTTTAAACAGAAATCCTTGTCACACTCTTCTGGCCATTGAAAGCGTAAGATTTTTTTTTTTAATTGCCTTTCTGAAACTTTAGAAGAATACCTATTTGCCTTGTTGGCCAAAACCAGGCAACTGTGTGAAACAGTTGAGTGCTAAAACAAACTAAACAGATGCTGGAAACTCAACCGTTTGTTTCTTGAACAAAATTGATTTTACCTGATGTCCTCTTGAGCATCAGTTAGACTTTGCCAGAGAGAAAACTAGACTGTCTGCAAATTTAATAATAATCACACAGACACACACTTCTTTCCCCCTTTAGTTTCCCATTTTGAAAATAACTCGAAGGCCTGACAAATGCTGAGTTTGGGCAACATGGTTGTGTTCTTAATTGAGGAAAGCAGGCCTGCCTGACCTGTTTCAACAGTCAGTGCAGAATTTCAAGAGGAAGTACAAACAGGAAGGGTTAAGGGTCCTCTTTTTTGTTCTTTATTCCACCTCTTGCACAATAGGGTTCTCTCACCTCTTCTTTCAAATAGGCTTCTCAAAATGCACTGTGTATTGGAGCAAAGAGGGATTGTTTATTTTTATTTTAAAATAAGAAACGAAACCTATAAATTAGTGCCCTAGGGAAAAAACAAAGTTACTTTCTGCTATGCACAATTTTTACCAGCATTGTGTTGGAAGGAAGAAGCAGCTGGCCTGCGGAAGCTAAGCAGATGCTGGGGCTCTCTGGAGTAGTCTAAGTGGGTGAAAGGTCAGTCCCACACCCACAGCCTGGGCGGGACTGCTGGCTTCAGTCAACAAGGGGAAGTTTAGTAGGTGAAGGGTCACTGCTGCTGGAGCAGAACTAACTTTCCATGCCTCAGCTCCCAGGCATCTAGTTTATGTTCATGGAAATAGAGCTCACTAGGGGAAAGGTCGGTGAGACCAAAGTGGCTCTATCATAGCCCTGATCTGACACTGTGTTCTTGCCTGAGGCTCAGCTGCTCGGGTCTCCTGGCTGTTAGGAATTCTGTTGCTCAAGTGGAAAAAACAGATTGCAAAGTACTTCATAGATCGCCCTGTACTGAGTATGGCAAACTGATAAACAGCCTACTTACTGCTACATTTATATTATGTAAAATAACTTTGCCAGGAGAGATTGCTTTCAAAAGTGTATTTCAATAAAGAAACCTGTAGGTTTTCTTATCAGTTGCTCTATATAGAGCAATGATTCCTAATCTTCAGGTAGTTTAATGTGCAACATTGCTGTGAAATCTTTAAAACATGGTGTTTGAAACGACTCCAGGTCAGCAGAGAACTTCTCCATGTTCTAGACAAGTGCTTTTTAGATTGTGGGTTGTAACTAATTAGTGGATCATGAAATCAGTTTGATGAGTCACAAAGAGCATTAAAATGAAATAGAATGGACGGAAAAAAGGACTTTTGTGATAAGTGCAGTTTTTTGGGGGGTCAAACTTTTGTTTCGGGTCTATCTGAATGATGATGTAAGAAGACCACTGTTCTGGATTTTAAGAACAAAAGCTTTGCTGCCTTGAACCCCCAAATAATTGCTCAAATTCAAACTGGTGGTTAGCTTTTTAAAAAGCTCAGCTGATTCCACAGGATGTTGTGGCTGTGAATTGGGAAACCTGCCATGCTATTATTTTGAAAAGTGCTGTGCACAGAGTGTTCCTCTCAGATGGTTTCCAGAGTTAGTTCTTTACAAGCATTCCCTCTTGAAACATCGGGAATCTAGATAAAGGTAAATAAATTCCATTTACCAACCCCCAAAGGTAAATTGATTCAAGCGAGAAAGACTTTGGTTGCTCACAAGGCTGGATGAAAACTTGTTTGGTGTAAACTTCATTCAAAGAAAACTGAACTAGCTAAGAAGGAGCCATGATAGCCTCTCTTACCTTTGCGATTATGGGGTGGTAAACAGGCTGTCATGAAAACGTCTAGAATCGGCTAGATGGTAGGATTTGTGCTCTGAGAGGATGGAGCATTCCCACTGCAGGAGCTGAGCAACAGCATAGAGGACCATTAAGTTACTATAAGAGAAAGAACCCAGAAATGGGGTTTGTATGGAGAAGATAGTAATAGTGGTGCAGGGCTTTAATTTTTGGATGGCCGATTTTTCCCTGTCCTTTCTTCTTCTTTCTTATTTTTCTTTTGATTTTCTTTTAAATGAGTGCTTCTGAGTTATGCTAATCCTTCCTTGGCTGCTAACGGATATGGTATTTCAGGATACAGTTGGAAAAATCTATACCCTGCATCAATTTGAAAGGAGATAGGAGGCCACAGAGATATTAGACATGTTTAGGACATCTCTGAATGACTGAGATTTCTACATTTTATCTCAATATTTTGATACAGCCTTTAAGGAAACTCATATTTTTCTTCTGCCTCTACATTGAGGAAGAAGAATTAATATATTGTAATCTATCTTTCAGAGAAGGTGTCTAATGGTCTAATCCACCAACTTCAGTATGCTGATTTATGAAAGAATTGCTCAAACCCAGTGAATAATAGCACTTCCCCTTCTTTCTCAAAAAAGGAACATTTGCTTTATTTTGGCAAGGAATAATTAAGCTAATTTCTCCAAGAACCTTGAAATAAGTGGCAACGAATAATGGATTTGTCCTTCAAAGAACATTTCAAGCAAGCATCTTATCAGCTACGAATTCATTTGAGGCAGTTCCAGGTCAGCCATAGGCGATTTTTCTCATTAAAATGCTGTTTAAACGGTTGTATCCAGATGACACAGGAGACGTATCAGACAAACAACACCTGCAAGAAGAATTGGTGAAGTATTGATTTTTCATCAATCAAAAAGTTTACTAAGCAGATGAAAATAATTTGCCTCCACAGTGACATTTTCCTGAGGTCTTGCTAGTACTTTAAGGCATTGTTTTTTCTTTAACACCCAAACTTTAATTACCAGAAAAGGTTAGCATCAAAACAAAGGACATGTTGGTAATTTAGAGGCCACATCAGAAAAATAAATTCCTTTTGGTTTGAATGAATTTTTAGTCTCATCTCCTTCTCCCACTTTGGCCACATCCCCCTCCCCCATATGACCATGCTTTCCTGTGTTCATGATCATTCTGTTAACAATGGATAGATTTGGAGATTTCTTTCTAGTTTTATAAGTTTTTCTAAGTTTTATACATCTGTCAGTAAGTGCAACTATTCAGTTTAAAAAAAGAAGCAGTATTTTGTAGCAGAGAAGTATGAGTTGAGGACATAGGAATCCTGTTTTACATTTCTTTTGATATTTACTCACTGAAGGCCTTTGGGGGAAAATTATTTCATCTCCCTACATCTCAGCTTCCATATTGACAAAAATTTTATTGTTCTAGATGACCTCTAGGGTACATTCCACTTTTCAAATCTCCTTGGTTGCTCATTATGGATTTTAAAATTCTCACAGAATGAATCTGAATAATTGTTGCATTTCCCTTATTGAGGAAGTATCTTTGATTAGAGTTCATTTAGCATAAACTCCTTCTCCAAGTAGGACATCCTTACAGCATCCCAAACCAACAACCCTCTCATTGCCGCTGGGATACTTCAGGAGACATAGTGCTCCCTGTATAGTAAGGAACTTTATTTCCTCTTGGCACAGAAAGAATTGTTATTATTTCTTTAGGCTAAAACATTGACTTCACTCTACCTCTCTCTTGTTTTTCTAGTTCTGCTCTCTGGAAGAACTTGAAATAAATTTAGCCCCTTCTAGTTTCTTCATCTAACATTTAGTAATTTTGGCTATCTCATAGCCAAACTTCTAGCTTGCAAATTGTGCCCCGATTTCCTTTTGGGAACACCCCTGTTGTGTTTTGTCTTGGAAGAGGAAGTGTTTGCCTCCCATAAAAGATACAGGGATCTCTCTTTTCTTCATTCCCTCCTATAACCAGGGTCAGACATCTGACCTGATCCAACTCCTTGATCAGATTTGAATTTTAAGTGAGTACTGCAGCTGCAAGAACCTGAGGGCAGGTCTGGTCATTCATCATTAGTGACATTGGAGGAAGGTAGCGGTGGGGACCATATGGCTCCTATGTGTGGCTCTGCTGGACTTCTGGCTGCCCT